ACCTGAGTGACCTTGGGCTGTCCATATTACTATTGAACCAATAACTCAGTATGTTACTTAAGTGGATATTTATCAAAACAAGGACAAATCAAGTTTTAAGTGATGAGCTAGTTTATGAGGTGTGAGATATTTGTTGCGCACATTTTTCAAATTGGAAATCATGGTTAAAGCAAATATATATTTCTAGTAAATTCTCATGAAGCTTTCCTGACTGACCGACAAAGTCAACGTGGAAACTGGCTAAAGTTGCCACACGTCACAGTAATACACAAAGAACAGGTGAATGGGAAAACTGGCACTGAAGCAGGCAAGGCTGTGCGGCAGAATAAAGAATTTGAAGATAACGGTTAGTGCGAATATTCGAGCTTTAGATGTCAAAGAGTGAATACATCTGCGACTAATTTTCAGCCATGTCACCAGGACCCCCCAGCAACTGATTTCTGTCGTCTCGATGACCCTAATCAGGTAGTCACCATCTCCTCCGCATGGCACAGACTAACATTAAGAGACTTCAACAACGGATTCCAAGTCTTGGTATGACCACTCGGAACCCTCTTCCAACTTAATACAACTAGCACGTCGAGGTAGATAGTGGGTCGACATACTCAGCACATGGTCAAACCATTTCAACCGATGAAAGTTCACAACTCTATCAGTCCACTTACATATCTTGCCCCATACATTTCGCCTGACCTCAACATTATACGGTGATTTCAACAAAAGTGAGCAATGCTATGAAGATACTAATGATGACCCTGTAGTCGATTCACGTCTTTTTTTGACGACCATACTTCGCAATCATATAACAGAGTAGAACAGACTACAGCATCGCATGCTTGTCCTTTGATAGATAGTCGAATATCTCACCAGTTGGCTCCACGGACGACAGGTTGTCAAGTGCCACACACGAGCATTTTGTATCCAACCTGGGATTTCGTCAGCAACGACCTTCCTCGGGCTGATGCGACTCCCCAAGTAAGTAAAGTGACCGACAAATTCTACCACTTCATTCCCTATCATTCAACTGAGTTCTTGCAGCAGACCAGTTTTGGAGCATCATTTTACATTCGACAGGTGCGAAACATGCCAGCTGAACGTACCCAGATTTCTGCTCACTACATTCTTAAGACTATATTTTGTCTGCGTCTTCATCCTGAAGCGGGAAATATCGTCTGTGTACTCAAGTCAACCAGTTAACCCACACGGAGTAGGTGAATCCCTGTGAAATCAAAAGTACTTAGTATTATGTCTATTAACACGCATGTGACTAAGTTAAATTGGAATGGTGACAGTGGACATCCCTGGAGAACACTAGTTGTCGGGAGTTCACATGACAACTCTACATAAGCCCTGATATGGCTACGTGAGTGTCGGCTTTACAGTTATATTTAAAAATTATTCAGCATGCACATTTGATGATACCAATATGGTTAGTAGAATTCGGTTACATAGATTAGAGGATAGCACTAAATGCGATAATAATAACAAAATCTCGTAAAACCTCATAAAACCTCAATAGTCGGTCATTGTGTATGTATAGGGATAGAGGGGGACAATTTATTGTCGCACAGCAATGAAGTAATAAAATTTGAAGGTATCCTGACCAACAATGGACTGGATGGTTTGAAAAAACTTGGGCACCGAGTTAGTATGATTCATTGTATAAGGTGTATTTTTATTCGTGTAATCCCGGCGTAGTATATCAGAGCAAATAACAAACTAAACAAATATTTTGTATTATTCCTCAAGGTTTCGATCTTGCTAGGGAGATCTTTCTCAAGAGTATGAGTCTGACATTAAGTTTTCAGGTTAATGTTTGTTTACTTTGTTATTTGTTCTAATATACTACGTCGGGATTACACAAGTAAAAATACACCTTATACAATGAAGTAATAAAATGTTTAAATTGGTATTAAAATATGCGCGAAGTATACGATTTAAATTGAGATGGAGTGATGATAATGATAAGAGTGCAAACAAGGATAATATTTACATTGAAGCTGTTTTGACCGGTAAGATAATCGTTATAAATTGCATCTGGGTTGAAGGCTATGGAGGGAAAGGGAACGAACGGCTCCTGTATAAATAAACTAGGTTCAAATGTTTTAATTTCTACTGCTTCTTGTGTGCTTTGCAACCGGAGACGCACGTGAAATGCTAATTGCTGAAGTTGTTTGTCAATCTTATATTCAGTATCTACTAAATGAGTGAGTATTGAGGTTTTGATGGATTTTACTGTTATTTTGCTTGACCATGCTGGAGAGTGTTCAATGAAACAATGATGGGCTTGTTGGGTCGTTCTATCTATGTGTCACTATCTGCACTGAACCAGTTAAATTCGTAAACACGCATAAATGTGGCCAGATACGGTAGCCTATCCTTCACGTGCATTGGCATCGTAAAGTGAGTAGAGAATTTCAAGCCTAGTGTAGTGGCAAGGAGGTTTTTTTTCTCTGATTTTTCTGAGTTTCGTTGTAAGTATTTTTGCAGCTGCTTCTCGTTTGAGCAATAGAACAAATTGGAAATAAAGAGCTATTAAGTTATATGGTTTGCCGTTGAGTTGCCAAGTCTAATGTCAGACCGTAAGTGGATTTAAACCCCTTTCTGATATCATTCTTATTCCCTAGGCCTCAACAGATGAATTCCGAGTTTTATACCCTGATGACTTTTCCTAACTTTTTTGAACTCGTTTTCCCCCACAACAATCTAAATCTTAGGAAACGTTTTACGTATAAAAAGCAACAAAAATTTGTAAACCTTTGGCTAGTCTAAAGTCAGCAAATAACCCACACGTTTCTGACTGATCATTTCAAGGACAGTAACAATTTTCGATTCCGGTGATACTTTCGTCAGAAATCTCAAATTTAGACCACTGTCACTTCAAATAACTAAAAAACTGATATTTAATACATTTTCAGTCATCACTGAAAATGTAAAGTTGCTTGATAATGTCCTTTACTTTGAAAGGGTCTATTCACACCTAATCATAGAACCCCCACAAGATTATTTCTTTGAATAATTCTAGTGTCTACTTGTAAGTAGTCTGAATGATGTCGATCTTTTAAAATGCACGAGTGATATTTATGTCTATAGTGGTGGCTTGTATTAATTAAGATTGAAACACTTATCAATCTTAATTTCAAGTAGAATAAGCCAGAAATCAATTTAATCTCTACTAATTTAAAGAATAAACCTACCATAACATAGAAACCAGGAAATGTTAGTTGTCTAGTTTTGAGGATGGTTCTTGGACTTTTCATCACCAGACAAGAAGACTTTATTACCATTTACGTCATAAAGAAGTGAGTGTTTTCAAGTTACATGAATATTTATGACGGATATTTGCCAACCTTGGGCTTTGTTTTTCTTGCAGATGGAAGTGGTATTTTTTGTTATCATCAGATGTTCGCTGTTGACCTAATGTCAGTATTGATGTCAATTCATGTCAATGAATGCAACTTTGATTGAGGCAACAATCAAGTTGAAGAACTGTAAGAGAACTTCTGAAAGCATGGTACTTCAGTCAAATGGCAATCAAAAAACATGTGGTCATTGACCTAAATATAGACTAATAGGAAGGGATCAGCCACCTGGAAATCAATTAAGCAAATTGATAATCAGACACTTGGTGAGTATCATAGGTCAAACAATAACAAAAATTAGTTAGGTCAAACTCCAAAAATACCGACAAGTCGATAACACCCAAGATCGGCAAATATCCTCCGTAAAGATCCATGCAATATGAAAGCGCTCCCCTTCTTTAAGAAGTAAATGCTGATAAAGTAGCCTAGCCAAATAATTATCATCCTCATTTCG